TATTTAAAGACTTTTTTTTCAAAACAGTTTTTTAGTTTAAATTTTAGTTTGTATTTTTTCTTTTGTATTTTCACGGTTTAATAAACCTTTAAATTTTAAACGTAAATTTATTAGACTAAAGCTTTCTTTTTTTTATATATATATAATTATTTTAATTTTTATTTTACTTGTATTTATTTCATTTTATTTTTCATTCTTTTTTTTTATAATATTTATTTAAAAATCAATTTGTAATAAGTAGAAGATAGTTTTTCCTATATTTTTTTTTATTATTTATATAAAAAATAATATTATTACTAAAAAAAATATAGTTTAAACTGCTTATTATAAATATTAATTTTTTAATAATTATTTTATCCATATCACTTTTTTCTTTTATATTTATTATTATTAATTATCAACTCCTTCTAAATCATAATTATAATTATTAATTGCACTTTCATGCCTTTAAATTGTATTTTATTATTAATTTATTTATTCTTAAACATTTTTTTTATTAGAAATATTATCTTCCTCGTCAAAAATAATTTAATTGAAAAAAAATCTATATATAAAAATATGATATAAGTAATTATATATTTTTTTTAAATAAAAATAAAATAAATAATATAAATACAAATTATAAAAAAATACGATATATCATTTATAGAATAAATAGTATAAGTTAAGAAAAAAACTGTAAAAATAAAAGAATATTTAAAACTAAATAATACTTAATCCATATCTTAATAATCTTTATAACATATGAAAGAACTTATATATATTGTAGTATTCACAGTTACCCCATTTAGCATTAAAAATAACCAAAACAATCCTTTTACTTTAATAATAAATAAATAATATTATTTAATAATATCTACATTCGTAATTATAAATATCATCATCTGTGCATTTAGAATATAATTTAGATAATATAACTATAATGAAACCTAAATTAATTCCTATCATTAAAGCAAAATATATCCAATAAGTCCAAAATATCTCCTTCCATTTCCAATCTACTTAATTTTCTGATTTAATCGAGATGAAAATAATTTATATTGTTAAAAATACTTTAGCAGTACATTTTATCTATTTTATATATATTTTATTTATTTTTAATTTTTTTTTTTACTGATTTAGAAATTATTTAATAATCCTTTTTTATACTTTTATATATTGTTTTAAATGATTTTAATAAATTTATTACAAAATATATACATGGAACTATTGTAAAATTATATTTAATTACACTTATACGAATTATAAGAAAAACCTATTATTTATTAAATTTTAATATTGTTTGTTTATTTTTTTTTTAATTTACTTTAAAAGAAAAGATTTACATAATATCTAAATATTTGAAAAAAAATTTTTTTAAGGTAATTCTTTTTTCTGAGAAACTATTAATATTAATATATAAATATGATATTTTATAGACAAAAAATTACTTATTTTTTAAGTTAATCGAAATGAATATTAGATAAAAGATATCAACTATCCATAAATAAACAAATTTATATAAAAAAGACAAATTCCACTTTAATTCAGCAAAATAAAATATGAAGAAAACTTAAACAAAAATTTAATTCATAGATAATATATAAACAATTTTTTTTTAAAGAATCATTTTATTTTAATTTAAATTTAAAATAGTATTAGATTACCCAATCTAATCTTATTCATTATTATTTTATTATTCATTATTTTCTATTTGTATTTAATTATTTTAATTTTCAATTTACTAATTAAAGCTAATAGTTAATTGTCTTCTTTACAAAAAACTATATTATCTATTCAGTTACTCTTAATAATTATTACTATATTATTTTTTATAGAAATTTAAAAAATATATAAATGGTAAACTATTCTTACTTATTTTACACATTATCACTTGAATTAATTATGTTTCTTTAAGTATTGTCATTATACTATCTTAAATCTAAAAAATATTACGAGTTTGTATTGTAATAATATTGTTAATTTTAATTCATTTTTTCTTTTTTAAAAATAAAATAGATTTCAATTCTTTATTTTTATATATAATTATATTATAATTAAAAAAGAATCAAAAATTAATAATAATATATTATATACACATAAATATTTTATTAATATATATATAAAACAAAAATTTAAAAATATGAACAAGCAACAAATTAATTTAATAATATAATAATTCAATTAAAAACAAAGTTAATATATTTTAGTTCCATTAAACAATTTAAACGCTGTATAAATTATTGGAATTATTAATCATTTTTTAATATTTTAATTTTAAAAAAAGCCAGCTATGGTTAGTTTACTTAATTAACAAAATTAAAATGTTTCTTTAGAAAATATGAAACGTATTTATAATAATTAATATTATTTTTTAAAAAAATAAATATTAATTGATATAAAAAGTAATTTTAAATAATATGCAAAAAAACGATTTCACTATATTTTATTTATGTAAATATTTTTAATAAAAATAAGCTTTTTAAAAAAAGAAAATACATATAATTATATTTTATATACAAAATAACATTATTATAATTAAATAAATAAGTAATTTTCAATAAAAATTAATAAATTATCGGTGTTAATAATTTATGGTTTGAAAGAAAATTTACAAGAGGGCTTTGTACATTATTACATATAGGTTAATCTTATTTAAATACAAAATACTTAATCCAAAATAATAATAAGAAGTTTAACTTATGTAAAATATTAACAAAAATAAAATAAAATTATTATTAAAGATTAGTTAGTAATTTAACTTAAATAGGAATGCTAATAAAAAATTGCTATAAATCAACTTTAAGTATTACAGAAAAACTTGAATAAAGTTTGTAAATAGTAAATAAATTTTTAATATTAATTATTTAATTTTATTATTATAAATAATATAAGATAGGTTATATTACATAAGAAAAACATATGAATTTTTATGCAAAAAATATATTAAATATAAAACCAAAACTATGAATAAATTAATTATATAAAATAATTAATAATTAAAAATTATATAAAATAAATTAATTTATTATTTATTTGTAGAAAAAATTAAATTTTGAATGGTTAATTAATTAATATTTTATATATATATATAATATAATAAAAATAAAAAAATAAATATAAATAATGATATAATAAAAAAAGTATTTTTAAAGAATGAAAAATTATTAATAATACATTATATAGTAAAATTATATAAAATAAAATATATATAAATTAAATAATATATATATATATATATTTATAAATATTATAATATTTAATTAAATAAAATTTAATTAAATTTCTTATATATATAATTAATTACATAAAAATTTTAAGTAATTAATTCATAATAAATAATAATAAGAATGAGTTCTTTCTAACAATCAAATTTACCTATTTTCTAACGCAATAATCTTCTATCTTAGCTAAATCCATCTACTTAAATAATAAAATATACTAACAATTGTTAAAAATCAAAAAAACATTAATCATTTGAACTAATATTTATTTGTGTAGACAAAAGTTGTTCAAAATCCCTACTTCCAATCTGCCCTTAATGTCTACATGAAGAACACAATGGTCATTAGATTAAATTAATAAAGGAAATTGCAGAAATATCTGATATTTTTATCTAAAAAGAGAAAAATAAATAAATAGTAAGCCATTATTGGGAAAAACTTTAAACTGTATTTTTCTAAACGAATAATTTTTTGAATGACATAATATAACATTTGGTTGAATTTCAGAATGATTTAAAGTATTAAAATGAAGTCTTTTTTAATTAACTTAATGAGGATAAGAATACGCTTTGGAATTCTGTTTTAGATGCTTCGAGGAATATAATTGATGATAAATGTGAAAACGAGAATGTTTTAGTGGAGAATCTTAAGATTATATTAAAAAATATAAATTTTAATGATGATTTTAATTAAACAGAGTATAAAGTGAATGTTTTAAAAGAAGAAAAGGTTGATATTGTCCTTAAAAACTATATAAATTTGCAAAAATTAGTATTTAACGTGAAAGAAAATACATAGAATTTACTTATTAAAAATGATTTGGGGAATATGTATGATTGTATGGAAGTTAAAATCGTGGAAGGAATCGACTATATGAAGATAACGAAAAAAGAAGATGATAAAAAATAAAAATTAATAAATTTTTCCTTTGATTTTATAGATAAAGATGCATCTTTCGAAAATATAGAAAATGAAGAAAATTGTAATGATAATATAATTAATATTTAATAATCAGATGATATTATTAATAATTAAAATATTTATAAAGGACCTTTTTAAAGGCAATAAAAAGCCAATATATTAGTAAAAAATACTGAAAATTAAAGATATAGTATTAAAAAATAAGTTTAAAATATTGAATAATTTCCTTAAAAATAATAATAATAAAGGAAATTAAAAATATATAATAAAATGGGAAAATCTTATACTATTATTTTATAAAAAAGAGATAATTTAAAAAATAATAGTCATAATTATAATGAATTTTTAAATGGAAATAATAATAATATTTTTATTGATTTAAAACTTAAATAATAAATTCTTTAAGATGATATCAATTAGGAATTTTTCGTATTTAGAAATTGGGATAGTCCAGATGTTGATTTAACTTTTTTCCCACTCTATCCTTAAGATAAGGATATTTATATAGAATATTAAAACAATTAGGAAGCCTTTTCTAATTTCTTTAAAAAAGAAAATTATATTGATGGATATATTATTGGACCTTTAAAAGAAAAGCATGCCATATTTTTATATAGGTAAGGTATCGTTTAAAAATCAGAATAAGGTTATAGTTAGTTATTTTGAATATTTTTTTGTTAAAATAAACAATAGATTTAATATTTTACTTTATATTTTTACTAAATACTAAATATAAATACATATATATATTTGCGTAAAAATAATAAATCATATTAATTTCATTAGTATTTTCTTTTTATAATAATTTTTTTACTTTTAATTTATATTTTTATTTTAATTTTACTTTTTTTAAAAAAAATAATAAACAATATATAAATGACTACAAAAAAATTAAAATTTAAAAGCGATTTCGATAAATGTGTGATTTTAGACAACTTCGCAGCAAGAGGTTGGATAAAGTAAAATAAAACATTAAAATAAAATAAGATTTCTTAAAAATAAAATAAAGATGTTCAGAAAAAGATGAAGATGACTGGAATATATATTGGTCAACAGTATGGAATACCCGTAATTTATTTAATCCAAAATCAGGTATAAATAAAAAATAAATAATCATCCATCCTCCCAAAAAATAAATAAAAAATAGGCATAAGACTAACAGATTATTAAATAATAAACCACTACCCCAACCACTACGAATTAACCCGAAAAGATTTAATGGTAAAAAACTTTAAGCGTTATAAAAAGACTTAGAAAAAGAAAATAATCCTATATGTACAAAAGACGACAACGGCAACTATATCTATTTAGACTTCGTACCCTAGACTTATATTTTACCAGGCGAATATTCCCTTTTTGTGGAGGAATTTCATCGTTAACCAAACGCTACATGGATAGTCAAACCATCTTCTAAATCTTAAGGAAAGGGAATCTTTTTATTAAGAAAAATTTAATAATTGAAAAAAATAGGAGGTGGTTCTAATAATAATAATCCTTTGTAAGCTTTTTCTTTAAAAGAAGCTTATGTAGTTTCTCGTTATATAGAAAATCCCTTATTAGTAGGAGGTAGAAAGTTCGATTTAAGAATGTACGTTTTGGTTACTTCTTATAGGCCTTTAAAAGTATTTTTATATTAGATGGGTTTTGGTAGATTTTGTAATGAGTAATATACTTAAGATATTGCCGAAATGGATAATATGTTCATTCACTTAACTAATGTGGCCATATAGAAATTCTCGGATAAATATAAGGAAAAGCATGGCGGTAAATGGTCACTTTAGTCTATAAGATATTACCTTGAAATGGTTTATGGATACGAATTGGCTAATAAGTGTTTCGAAGACATAGAAAATATTGTTATTATGACTCTTAAATCTGTATAAAATGTCATCATTAATGATAAACATTGTTTTGAATTATATGGATATGATATTCTTATTGATAATGCATGTAAACCTTGGCTTATCGAAATTAATGCGAGTCCATCATTATCTGTTACAGGAAATATTGATAAAGAGTTAAAAAGTAACCTTATAAGAGATGTCTATTAAATTGTTATACCGGAAGATTGGAATGAAGATTAGAATAAAAGTGGAGCTAATACTTGTAATTTAAATAAAGTCGGAGATTTCAATTTACTTTATGATGAATTGGTTGAAAAAAAATACAATAATAATAATAATAATAATAATAATAATAATTTTAAAAATAAAAATAATTAAAATGTCAATAATAATAAAATTATTTGGAAATGAAAATATAATTAATATTAATAGATAAAAATATATATAAATATATATATATATATATATATATATATATATATTATTTTTATATATATATAATTATGATTTTTTAAACAAACAAAAAATATATATATTTTCATTATATTAAATTATACTTTTTTAGAAATAACACTAAAAAATCATTTTTATAATAACTTTATAATTTTTTTCGGTACTTTTCTAATATATCTTTCTAAAAGTTAAAAAAATTATTAATAAAATAATTATTAATATTAAAAAAAATAATTACTTATTATAATATTATCAAGTATACCAAAAAAGAAATTTTGAAAATTCTTACTTTCATCACTTAGAGTTTATTTTAAATTTCCAATAGCATTTTTAAATCCATCAATAAACCTTCCTCCTTACTTAATTGAAGTATAAGGGAGTAGATAAATATTTAAAATACCTTTCACTAATCCACTAATATTTCTAATAATAATAATATCTTAAAGGATTTTAAAAATATGTAAATTGTTTTATAATTATCCTAAATATTTATTAACTAATAAATCTAAAAAATTGGAATCTAATTATTTATTATAATAGTTAACCTATTTAAATTAAATAAATGCATTTTTTATAAAATCTTAAACCATAAAATCTACTTTAATTTAAATGCTAAAAGAACTAATTAAAAATACTTTAAATTTTAATTTATTAATATTATTATTTTCTAAAAATAAATCTTTATTTTCATCAAAAATTTACAATATTTCAAATTCATTTTCTATTTCTTCTAATTTTTTTTAATTTTTTTAATATATATCTTCTTTTTCTTCTTCAAAATCAAATAAATCATCATCTAAACAAAATAAATCATCTTCTTAAATATTAAAATCAAAATGACTTAATTATTCAAAAAGTTCTTTATGTTTATTTTCTAATTATAATTATAAATCTTATAAATATAATCTAAAAAAAAAATCTTCATCTTAAAATTCTATATCAGCTAATAAAATTTTTTCATCATTATAAATATCTTATTTTTATAAAATTGTAACATTTTTATTTCCTGAAACACCTATTATATTTAAAAACAATAATAATTAAATTATAATATAAAAAAATTATATACATATATATAATAAAATATAGCTATAAAAATATATATATATATATATATATATATATATATATATTATTTACATTCTAAATCAAAATTATAAATTGTAAAAGTCATATTATTTTAACTATTTTAAAATGAAGAATAAAATAAGACTATATTTTCAATATTCATTCTTAATATTTATGAATAATTTCTTGTATTTTTTATTTAGAAATTTTTATCTATATCAAAATCTAGTCCTTAATAAAGTTGAATTTAAATCATTTTAATAATTTCGAATTTAATGAAAATGTCATGATTATTTTTTTAATAATAGCACTCTATTTTTTATTACTTTGCTTTTCTAAAAAACTCTTCGTTTTCTTTTTCATATTTTATTATATTTTAATTTAAAACATTTAATTTTTCTAATTAATCTTCATCGAATATCTCAAACTCATTTAAAATACAAAAATCGTCACTTTTTTTATCTAAATTCTATATTTACTCTTTCCTTACATTCTCTTCATTTAAATAAAATTCTTTTAAAAATTTCATTATTAAAAATGAGCTTATCGAGACATGAACTGGTAAATGTTAAATAGTATCTTTACAGGCATTAAAAATAATAAAATCAACTATACAATCATACTTTTTATTATCCAAAATATTAACTTTTAAATTATTTATTTCTATTATTTTTTGAAATCCGAGTCTTTAAAGTTCTTCATTGATAATAATATTCTATTTTTTTTTATTTACAAGGAAATAAAAATGTATTTTTTGAATTTAAACTTCCGTTTTTTATTCAAATTAATTATTTTAACTATTTCTTAAATTCTAAATTTTTAAATTTAACTAATTTAATTATAAAATAGTTCTTGTCTTAAAAAAATAATTTTTTTTAAATTCCTCTTTAACAACTTATTCTTATTAATTTTTATTTTTTTTCTTAAAAATTAAAGGCAATTATTCCCTTATTTCTTAATTATGGAAAGGAAATATATCCAAAAAAATATTATTTATTTAAGCTTTTAAATTTAATTATATTTTATTCTCTTTTTTTTTCTAAAAATCATCTACTATTATTATTTATTCATTTTATTTATAAAAACTCGATATTAAATTATTTATACTCTTTATTAATTATCCCTTAAAATCTCCAAATCGCACAAGTAGATTACCAACTTTTAAATTTTCAATTGTAATACAAGTTTAATTCTCAACCTCATTATTAATATCATAAAAAATATTACTGCTTTCAAAAATGCTTCTATCAGAAGAATTTTATAAAACTTAAGGATTTTCTATTTTAAATTAAGCAAATAAAAATAAATTATTTATTTCTTCATAGTCTTGCTCTCTTATTTTAGATTTTATTACTTCTCTATCATCTTCTATTTCAATAGTGTATATTAATACTTATTTTTGAGGAATTTATATTTGGGAAGATATGAAAAATAAGTTATCCATGTTATAATTATTATTTTTTAAAAATAAAATGTCAGTTTATTAGTTATCAATTAAATAAAATTACTTTATTTAAAATTTATAAGTTTATTCTTCTTTCTAAAATCTTATTTTTTGAAGGATTATTTATAAAGATTGTTAAAATGGAAATTTATTAAATTATTATTTAATTTTATTTTATTTTATTTAACTTTTTTTATCATTAAAGTTTTTTATATTTATAATTATTTCATTTATTTGTAAATCATAAATATTTTTTGAATTTAAGTCTTTTTGTTTTATTTATAATTAACTTTTTTAATTTAAAATATCCTTTTTTTTTTTATAAAAAATATTAAATTTATACAAATTATTTTTTACTTAATATTCATTTTATATCTTATTTATTAAACTTGAAAAATATTTCGTTTTCAATAAAAAAAATTAATTTAACTAATTTAAATTTTATTTTTTTATTCGTCATTTATATTAAAGATACCGATTTCAATTTAATTGATTTATAAAATTTAATAATTTTAAAATTATTAAGTATTGTTTAAAAATTAAATTAATACTCCTTAAGCTTTTTAAATTTCGCCTTTTAAAAAATAATTATTCCTTTAATTATCGTTATTTCCTTAATAAATATTCACTTGATTTATTTCAAAACCAATTAATTAATTTCTTTAAGTTTATTTACATTTACAAAAACAATCTCTATTACTATTCTATATAATTTTAATATTATTTATATTTAAATTTAAGCTAATATTATTCTATTATTAATAACTAATTTATTCAGATATTATTTCATTAGATTACATTAATTATTATTATTAATCTTATTGAAAATTATCTTTTAATAAATAAATAAAAAATCTACAAATAATTCATATATATATTATTACTTTATTATATTATGAATATCCAATATAAATACTAAATAAAATCAAAATCTAAATAAATGTAGATTTATTTCAAATTAACTTTTAATAACCCTTTTGTAAATTAAGCAAAAAAATCTTATTATGCCCCAAACTCTTAATTATTTATATTTTCTTATTAAAAAAAAGACTTTTATTTTTTAATTTAATTATTCAAACAATTTTATTTTTACAATAATTCATCTTCTATTAAATCAGAAAAAGAAAAAATATAAGAAATACATTAAAACTTATCTTAATAATTTTAAAGTAAAATAGACTATTAAGAACTTTTAATTTAACCATGAAATTAGCTTTACATTATAGACTTGAAAATATCATTTTCACTATTTTGATTATTTTCTTCTTTTTGTTCTTCTTCTTCTTCAAATTAAATATCTTTCAAAAAACTCTATTCGTGTATTTTTTTTTCCTATAATTATATTTTAAGAATATCAAATTTATTAATTTAAAAATTAATTTCATTTTCTTTTCCACTATTGATTTCAACCCCATCTGCTTTTAAATAAAAATAGCTTTCCGGTATTCCTTCATTTATTAATTTATTTTAAATACTATAGTCTTTATTTTAAACACAATTTTATTAAAAATAATACTTCCATTATCTCTATAATCGATTGGAATTATTTAAAAAATAAGCGTTTATAGAATGTAATTAGACTTAAATATTTATTTAAAAAATATTTTAAGAAATTTTTTTATTATTTTCAACAGAATTAGAAGCTTCTTTTTCCAAATTTAAACTGACTTCCAAATAATCTTTTTCATTAAATAATTTCATTTTTATCTCTTCTATTGATTAAAAGAACACATCTTCTTATTTTTATTTGTTTTATTATAGTTAATTTTCATTTTTCTATTAATAATTAAAATAATCCTTTAAAAATTAAATTTCATAGTTTATTTTTTTCTATTAAAAAGTATTCTCTTCCAAAACCTAATTATTATTAATTTCTTGAGATTACTATTTATCTAAATTTTTTAAAACACTTGTCATTTACGCTCCAAAGCTATTATTCCTTTGTAAAATCAAAAATCCATTTTAGCATTTTTAATGTATATGTAATAATTCCAGCAAGCTTTCTATTTATTCTTTTTCAAAATAAACTTCTATAGGTGGAAATTTAGCTTTTATACTTTAAATATGCTAGGTTTTTTGTAAATACTCGACTTACATTTGTAAAGATTATTATATATTTTCATTATCCAGATTTAGATTATGTCCAGTAACAAAAATGCAATTATGATGATGTATTGAGATATTTTTATTTTATGAATTATTTAAATTAATATTATTTTCTTAATTTTATTTTAAAAAAATAGAGCATTCTTTTATTTCTAATTAATAATTTATTAATTCTTTATTTTTATTATTAATATTATTATTTTTCGGTTAAGAAATTTACAAAAAATTAGTTTTAAAACAAAAAACTTTGGTCTATTTGGGTAAAATCAAATCGATTTAAATATGCATGAAAGTTAATTTTATGGAAGAAATTATTTTTTTAATAAATTATTCGAAAATATCTATTTATTCGCTTTCTTCAATTAATTCAATATAGTTTTCCTCATTTTATTATTTATTTTTATTTTTAGGCTTTTTTTCCTCATGTAATTTCTTAAATTAAAATTGCAAATATAAACCATTTATTTGTATGTCGATTTCTTCATTGAGAATTCGAGAAAGAGATTTTATATCTATTTTTAAATTATTTATAATACCTTTTTTTAACTCCAAAACTGTTCCTTTCAAAAATGTTTTGTTTATCTTTTTGTGAGATAAGGGAAGGTCGAATAATTCGAGAGAGTCTTTATTGATATCTTAGAGAGTTATTTTTCGATCTATAAAATTATTGAACATCCTTTCAAAAAAAAAACTAAATATATTCCTTATAGGGGAAAATTCGCTTATTTGATCTAATATAAATGAAAAAAATCGGCTCATGTTTTTTTTTATTTTTATTTTTTTTCTATAATTATTTATTTTATTCTTTTTAAAAATAAGAAGTGCTTTTGTATATTTTTGGTATTATTTATTAATTATATATTTTTTTTTATTATTTTAAAGTTTTATATTAGGTAATATATTCTTAATTATTATAATTTTATTTTTTATAATTTTTAAAATAGCTTCATTAAAAACAATAAAGAAAAAAATTAAGAAATTTATTTATTAATATTTTATTAATGATATAATAATATAAATAAGAAAATATTCAGATTTTATATAAAAAACATATATAGGTAGAATATTTTTATATTATATTAAAAAATATAATTTTTTAAAAATTATTTAAAACAAACATAATAGTATTAAATTAATAATAATTTACATTATATAAATAAATATATATATAGATATCAATAATATTATTAGTTGTAATAATAAATTTATTATAAATTTTTAATTTTAAATACTTAATATAAAATAATTAAAATATAATAGTTTAAAATAAAATAAAATATGTAAAATTAATTATAAATAAATATTATAAATTTATTTATTTTTTTTAACAAAAATCAAATATAACCTTCAGATGATTTTTATTCATCCTAAATATTATAATTTTTTGGTAAAATATCATTTTTATTTTCGCTCAAATTATACATATTATCAATTTAAATTAAACTTTTTCCTTTAGTTTCTTTCATATAACCTATAGTCAGGAAAAAATTAATAAGCATAATTCCCCCAAACATCCAAAAAATTCCATATAATTTCAATTCACTGTCAACTAAAATAGGGAAAAATTACACTATCCCAGTATTAAGTCCCCAAAATAAAATACTAGTAATCATATATCCAACTTCAGGCAAATTTTCCGAAAGCACCACAGGATAGATTGGTGAAATACTTAATCCGAATCCAACCTTAAATGCAATAAGTACATACTTAATACTTGAATCTACCTAAAAATATGAAAGAAAACCAATCAAAAACAACATGATAATTATAAAACCTTAACCAAATAATAATATTGTTTTTCTTCCAACTTTTTCCACATAAAAAGGGGCTAAAGCAACTGAAAAAAGGTCCGCTAAACTTGTATATAAAGCAAATTAAGTTGCATAAGAGTTATTATTATTACTATCTTTCATCACAATATTATTATTATAAATAGTAATAATAAAATAACCTGAAAAATTCACAGAAATAACACATAAACAACAAACTAACATCCTTCTTCTGTATCCGAAATTCTTAAAGATATCTAAGAGTGTTAAATGTTTGTTTTTAATATATTTTTCTTCCCTTTATTTAATAGATTCTTTTATTTTCTATAATATTTCGTTACTAACCTCTTCTTAATATATTTAATTTAAAGCATTTAAAGTATTTTATTCATCTCTATATTTTTAATAAATAAAAAAAGGTGAATCATTTTTAAAAATAAGTAAATAACCCAATAAATGTACACATGAAATAATACCAGGAATCCCTAAAACAATTCTCCAATATTAATCGCTTACATTCTCAGTATTTAATCCTAACAACGATGAAAAAATAAATCCTAAAGGAGTAAAGCAAACCATAGGAGCACCTGCATATCCCCTATATTTATAATAAGTCCATTCTACAATAAATAAAATGGCCAAATTAACTAATATACCCATTCCTATTCCCTAAATAAATCTTCCTAAAACAAGTGAGGCAGTATTTTATATTAAGCCTAATCCTGATCCTATTATACAAAAAACATCTCCTATCATAAATAAGGTTCTTCTTCCATATAATGCACTAAAATAACCTGCAGAGATAGATCCTAAAGCAGCTCCAGCTGAATTAGAAGAATTTACTAATCCTGTAAAGAATTTTATTTATGATTCTTTCCAAGAAAATATTTATGGAAGCTTACCTAATAAAGGATTAAGCAAACTAATACAAAAAGCATATTGAAAAATGTTTATTCCACCATGGATTATCATAAAAATATATTTTGTTTTGTTTCGAAATAGGGAAGGACGGTTTGAATCTATTACTATTTCTTAATTGCTGTTTTCTTTTAAATTATGTTTGAATCGAGTAGAAGAGCATTGCTTTGTTTTGATATTTGGTGATTATAGTGATTAGTTTGTATTATTTTATTATTGTTTCATTTATATATATATATTTTGTTATTTTATTAAAGATTAATTTAATTAGTTTTGGTTTTTATTTTTATAAAATTTATATATTTGTATACTATAATTCAATTTAAGAAAAATTAGTTTATGATTTTATTAAAATAATTAATTTACAAATTATTTAAAAAAAAAATATTGACTTTTTATTATTTATTTATTTTATATTTTTTAGTTTATATTGATTATTGAGATTAATTTTATAATAATATATAATTGTATTTAATTATATTTTTTTTAATAATTATATTAAAAAAATGTAATTAAGAAATTATATAAAATATATATAATATTAAAAACAAATAAATATAAAGATATTAAAATATTATAATAATTATTTCAAATGAATTTAAAAATTCATTAAAATAAATATTATTTTCTTACTACTGAATTCCTTTTAAATAAAACATCTTATTTATTTGAAATATTAATATCATCATTTATTTAAAACTAATTAAAATAAGATTACTCCAAAGCAACTTAACATGGTATTCTTTTTTAAGGATCTTTTTACAAAAACCATTTAAGTAATTCTTTTGCCTCAGGACTTATATTATCATATTTTTATTCCTAAAAATTAATTACACAATCTTTATTTTTTGCTAAAACATGATTAAATTTAACTCCTTTAAATAAATTTTCACCAAATAATCTTTAATATTATATTTAAAAATAAAAAAAAATAAAAATAAAATTTATATATGTAAATATATATATATATATATATATTTCTATATATTTTTATATTTATATATATCTATATATTTATATATCTATATATATATATTTACAAATTATGGAAAATAACACCAGTTGAGAAAATATCACTTATACAATTTTAAGCTAAATTTTTATCAATTTAATTTGCTATTTCAGGAGCTACATATCCTGGTGTTCCACATTTTGGAAATATATAAGGAATATCATAGGTATAAGTTGATAATCCAAAATCAATAATTTTTAGAGTTTAGGTTTCTTTTTAATAAATAATATTTTCCAATTTTAGATCTCTGTGTATAATATTTTTTTAATGCAAATATTATATGCCTTTTAAAATCATGTATAAAATTCTTTTTATTTCATATTCAGGCAATTTTTTTTAATTATCAATATAATCTTATAATTTGATTCCTTCAATTAATTCCAATACAAAAAAAAATTAATCTTTACTTTAAAATACTTCAAAAAGTTTTATTATATATTAACTTGTTGTTAAATCTCTCATTATTTTTAATTCATTAAAGATAGATAACTTTTATATATAATTTATTATTTAAAAAAAAAAAGTATAAATATTTTTGATAAATAGTAAATATTTAAATATAAGAAACAAATTTTTATATATATTATTTTATTTATAGTAAAAATAAAATTAAAGTTATAAATATATTAAAATATTAATATATATATATTTATAAATTAAAAAATATATGTATTAATTTAAATATGTACAAAACTAATATTTAATATAACAATTTCAAATATTTTAAATATATTTTTTTATTGTATAAATATATAAAGTTATATTTATATATATATGATTATTTATAATTATATATTATACATTAATATAATTTTACCAATCCTTTTTCTTATTCATAAAGTTTATTTTTATCAAAAACTTTTACTGCGAATTTCTTTTACTTTATATATTAATTACTTTGTAAACCTAAAATAAAAATTACATAAAATTTTTTTCTATAAATATTACTTTTGCATAATTCCCTTTACCTATTTCTGATATTATATCATATTCATCATAAAAATTTGCTTGCATAATTCTTTGACTTATCAATTATTTAAATTAATGGAAATATTTAACGTCAAATAAACATTAGAATTTGTAATCATCTCCTATAAGTTTAAAACCGGTTATTAAATAAGGATTATAAAGTTTATCATAAATCCAAATAATTTTTGAATTAGGTTTTAATTCCAATATTTTATTTGGTACGTTTTAATAAGGTTTCTTTTTTTATATTAAAATAAATATATAAAATAATAAATATATATATATATATATATAATATATATATATATATATATCCATATATAAATATTTTTATGTATTTATTAAAAAAATTATAAATTATTATTTTATTATAAATATTATAAATTAAAATTACATTGCATATTATTAAAAACTCATTAAAAATATAAATAAATTTTTATTTATTATTTTTTTTTTTTATTTAATACATTAAAAATCAAATAATGACATTTAATAATTAATAAATCCATTTTTCTAATATTTACTAAAGTTAATTTGACTATATATTTAAATTATATTATTATCTTTTTATATTATTTAATATTCTAATCCTTTTTTTACAACATTCTCTATATGTGTTAAATTCTTATAATTTTTACTTTATGATGTAGATTTGTTTTAAAAGTCTTTATCATTTAAAGGCTTTAGCTTTAAATAATTTGATAAATTAAATTAATTCAGAGATATATTTTCTATGTATTATTTACGTTCTGTTTAATGTTAAATTTATTATAATTCATAATATTAATTATTGATTGAATTATTTATATATTATTGCGGAAGCTAATTTACTATATTATATGTTTCAGTTTTTTGATGTTTTTAATTTTTAATAGAATTTTTTTTAAAAATTTGAGGAAAATTCTAATGTAAAGAATTATCATTAAACATAATGTTAACTTAAGATTAATTTTTTTACCTGTATAATTGTTAATTTTATAAATATAAAATAGATTTTATATTAAAATATAAGTTATAATATTCATAATTATTTATATTATTAAAAAAATTAAAAACTTTAAATCAATTTTATTGCGAATTTACTAATTCATTATCTTTAAAATCTTTTTATATTTTTTTATTATTTTTATAATATTATTTTCTATTTTCTATTTTCTAATGAAAACTTTTTTTGATAAAATTTATATAATTCTTAAAGAAAAATATAAGTATAAAAATATAATCAATATTAATTGAAATTTTTAATAAATTTTAATATTTTAAAAATACAAAAGAAATATTAATTTTTTTTAAATTCTTATATATTTCATTAATTAAAATATATGTTTTTAATATATATAGACTACATAAACATAATATTAATAATTTTATGTTCTAAATTAGTTATAAGTTATTAATATAAATATACTTAAAAGTATTTGATTTAATTTAATAGATAAAAAAAATATTATTTAAAAAAAAAACATATATATTAATTATCTATTATAAATCAAAAATTAAAAAATTATCTTTTTATATATATATAATTAATAAAAACTACATAATTTTATTTAATGCATTTGTAAATATAAATAATAACATAATAAATTTAGTTTATTGTTGGTTCTTTTTTGATATTTAATCAAAAATATAATCCTTAAACAAAAATTATTAAAACATTTATTCAACATAATTAGTATTTTGTTTTAAAAAAAATAATATAGTTTTCTTTATTATTTATTTTATACATTATTAATTTTAATAATAAATATAAATAAGAATAAATTATGTGTTAGGAAAAGTAATATTTAAAATATTTAAAATAAAATCTATTAAAATATTAAAAATGAATATAAACATAAAAATAATACAAGAATATTCAAAAAATCAAAATTAAAAAATAATATAGTATTACTAAAAAAATAATTATTAATAAAAAAAAGAATATTAAGAAAAATTAAAAGCTAAAATTTTCATATTTAATCTAAAATATAAGTAATATTTAAATATAGTTATTAAATATAAAAAATATAGAAAAAATTATACTAAAGAATTGAAATATTTAAAAATTAAAAAAATTAATAATATATATTAAATATAAAAAATTTAAAATAAACTTTATATAAATAAAATTAAAAGAAAATATATAAATAAATATATATAATATAATATGTATTGTTATTTATATAATTTTTTTATTAAAAAAATATATTTACTACTAAATTTATTAAATTATATTTTTATTTTTATTTTCAATCAATATTTATAAATTAATTTTTTATTCTAAATTTTATATTACATATAATTTATATATTATTTAATTTATAAAAAATTATTTATTATTTGTTATTTTACCTTTTTTTGTTTATAATTTAATTAATAATATTTTCGTCAAATAATAATATATTTTTTTTTCTTTTTTATTTATATTTGGTATTTTTGATATGCTATTATTTTTTATATAAGAAATTAAAATAGATCTGAATGATTAGAATTTAAGATAAAATAATTTTTTTCTAATAAAAATTTATATTATTCGTTTAATTTCTTACTAATATATAATTTAACATAATACTTATATAATTACATTATATAAATTTTCTATTTTTTTACAATTTTATATTTTTAAAAAATATCATTTTTTTATAAGTAGATATACAAATAATAATTTTTAATATACTATAATATTACTTTTAATTAATTATATAATATAAAATGTTTACAAAATATTTTAAAAAATCATACTAATTGTCTATTATTTAGAGTTATTTATTTCAAATTTTTAAATTTAATAATTTTTATCATTGTATATTTATACAAAATTATATGAAAATAATATTAATATTATATTTATTAATTTCTATTAAAAATAAATAAAATAATTAATATAATTTAGTAATTTTTATTAAAATTAAAAACAATTTTTAATATAAAATTATATAAAGTAATATAAACTATAATAATATAATTAATTAAATATAAACTTTTGTTAAATTATAGAAATAAGTAAAAATTATTTATATATTTTTTAGAAAATTTTATTTTTAAAAGTAAAAAATAAATTAATAAGTAATTTTATTTAGCATATTCAAAATTATGGAATTTCACCAAATAATATCTTAATTTAATTATAAATAAGTTTTTAGCTTAAATTATCACATGAAATAAATTAATTAATAAAGTTTTTTACAATTAACTATTATTTATTATTAGTTAATTTATTACTTAAGTAATCTTATTGTTATTTATATAGTTATAATTTTAAATTATTTTATTAAAAATTTTCTTAGTTTTATTATTAAAATATATCAATACTATTATTTTAATTATTAAACTTTTATATATTATTTATTATTTATTAATTTTATTAATTATTTATTTTATTAATTTAAAGTTAATTAATTAATTAATTTTATTAGATAGAATCTATAATATTATTATTATTTTTTAAATTTAATAAATCGTTACTTAATAATTTTTATTTTTATATTTCAAAAGGGGAAAATAGAGGAGTATTTAAATTTATACTAGCATCAATAGTTGAATTATGACTTATTTATTTTTATAGTAATAAACTTTTTAATTTATTACAATTTAAAGTACTTAGAGGAGTTAATTATTAATTACTAAATAAATTATTGTTATAATTATTTTATTAATTAAATGAATCATTATTTAAAAATTGTGTTTCCTTATTAGGAATATTTAACTATGGTAAGTTTAATTTTCTTTTTGATAATATATTGTTTTCATAATTTTAATTCTCATCGTTTGTTAAATTATTAAAATTCAAAAATGTATCTTAAATTTATTATTAATTTTATTATTAATTTTGTTATTATTTATTTAATAAATTTTATTAATCTTATATGATTTATTATTAATATTATATTCTTTACTAAAATTATTAATTCTATATATTTTACTATTATTTTTCTATCAAATATTCTTATTTCATTTCTAATTATTAATTAGTATTTAAATTAATTTATTTTCTTTTATTTTTTTGTTATTAATTCTAATCTTACTAAATTTTTATTTCATGTTTTCTCTATTTTTTTATATGAGAATAAAATCGATTTTTTACCATATTCTAAGATCTTCCTGGAATATTTTTAGAAATTTAACACCATTTAGCTCCTAATTCATTAAATAAATCAATAATTTATTAATCTTCTTGAATACTCCATTCCTTTTTTTAAATTGAAGGATCTAAATGATTAATATATCTTTCTCTAATTTATTTTCCTTTTTTATTATTTAATAATAAAGCAAGCTATTTCCAATTTTTCCCATACTATTAAACTAAATTTACTAGTTTTTAATCCTCTTCTTCATTCCATTAGTTTTTTATTTTCGAAGGCTATATTCTTTAGAATCTTTATTTTGCTTAAGAAATGTTTCTTCCAGGTATATTTTAAGTAATCTACTCCCAATTTCCACCATATTTTTTGAAAAAAATTCTTAAAAGAGAATCTTCTTGAAGAGTCCATTATTTAATTATCCTTTTCTTTTTTGTTTATATCTACTTATTAAAATTTTCAATATTTTCTTTATTCAGTTATTCTGGCTTTTTTTGTATATTATTATCAATAGAGTTTTCAGTTTCTTAAGGAATAAAATCATTCTTATTTTTAATTAAATTTAAATATTATATCAATTTTTTATTTTTGATAGATACCTATTATTTATCTGATATTTCATTTTATTATGTTAGTTATTATTGTTTAGTTAATTAATTTTATAAAGAAATGTTTTATAATAAAACATTTTTTTAATTTATTTATTAATTTAATACTTTAGTTAAAAAATTATTTTCTTAAAACTGCATTTTTAAATAATGTATTTTTTATTTTTAAGAAAAAAATCAATTTTATTGATAACTTCTTAATTTTTTGTTTTGTTTTAGGTTTTTAAATTGTATAATAAAATACTTTTTTAAAAAATTTAAAGTTAAA